ACTGTTCCCACCTTCCATTAGAACCAATACAATAGACAGTTGATTGTGATTCTCAGGTACTTTGCTTATTGAGTAAACTGGATTTCTTGGTTGGCAAAATTCTTTCCGTATAGTATGGGATTACAATCATACGAATGGTGATGTCCACTTAAGTAAATCGATTTAACACGTAATCAATTTTACACATGCATTTCATATCTATAACATCAGTGAGTATAGCTTTTAAGAGTTTTAAATCCGTGTCACTGAGCACTACTATTAAATAACGTATAGAATCTCACTTGATTTTTCCAATTTGGTCACAGAATTTGGTTGACAGAGATAATTATTTTCCTAGTTAATATTTGAACCTAGAAATAATTGTCCAGTAATTTTTATTCAGACAAATGTGTAAGACATGTTGATACAACATCTTCAGCTTACGAACGTTTACAGACTAATCATAAATTACAATTTTATAATTCGATTATCAATATTCTTAGTTAATTCATATAGAATAGATTGAATGTGACTAGCACTAGTATCACAAATGCACGTTTCGTCCTATTTTAGACTCGTTACCTGGATGGACATTTTGTAAAATAAGTGTATGAATTGAAAATTCCTTCTTCTAGCCAGTTGGAAAGATATAGCAAGTCGTTTGTTATCAGTAATCATGTCCTTGAATTTTCTCTCATACCTCCTAGTCCAACCAAAAACTATATCTCATCAAAACAAACTGGTTTGCAATCCAATAATCCTAGTATTGCGACCAACAACGTCCAACTTAACCGATGACTTGCTTTTAAAGACAACAGTTAATTTCGAGCAGTGACAGAAGATTCACCCTGAGGCGTCATATTTCTTCCTTTAACCCCCAGGGCAGAGTTCAAATGGTTTAATTTGTTTATTCTGATTGGTGCTTTTTTACAAAATTCTTTCTACGGGATGGGGTTGCCAAACCCTCCCATTTCACCCAGGCTTGGGACCGGCAGTAATTCTAGCAGAGCTACAAGCGGAGTTGGATGGCGAGTGCTGGTGCGCGGCCTATGTTCCTCGATGAGGAGTTACAGGCGTAAGTAAAGTAATTAAGTAAAGACAGACGATTCAACTGAACTAGGATGCATATCCACTCTATTCAGGTATCCAGTAAGTAGATATATCTCAAATAGTCATCAGTCATTAGACCACAACACATCACGGATATGGAATTTCAATTCATCCACATCCAAGGTAAAAGTGATGAAAATCAGAGCAGCCGGTCGATATTTAATTAGCAATCACTCAAGATTAGTAAAATTTATAACAACAGTGTTTATGAGTCTACTGGAAGTTTAAAATAAGAGAAGTATAAAATACAACGGTCCAGCCATTTAACTATTATTCAATGTAAATATAAATAATAACTCTTCAGAAACTAACTAAAAGAAACACGTCTTCCAATATTCACTGTGTTCCACCAATGAAATGCCGTTTAGAACAGTACAACTTAATCTCTGTCAATTGTTTGTCCGTACAAATGCATGCAAACTCAAACGTAGTTGGTAGCAGTTCATTAGTATTGATATGTTTGGTAATTTGAGTTGGTTGACAAGAAACACTGAAGCTAGATTTGGTGCCGAATGGGACTCTCTAGCAAAACGAACCTGTAATACTGAGGGAATGGATTGATCGTGATGAGTTTGATGCCGTGACACTCATCTCCATATTTTGAGATGTTATTACTGTGTTAATCAGATGGAACTGAGGTTCTGTACAACTGATATATTTTTAGTTGATTGATCGCTATTGAGTGACTAATGTCTTTTGTATTTATGCTATCGGGTTATTCATCGATTCTTGAAGCCTCAAGATATGATTCCTATTTCCAATCTTCTTAAAGGAAGATTAATTAGGGTATGTAACCTGAACTTCTTCAGGAATATTACTAAATTCTAGCACTTTATCTTAATTAATTGGAACTGCATTCATCATGTAATCTTTGTATTATATATTACTGAAAAGCACGATCCACATTATTTCATCTCAGTATACTTGAACATTGGTAATAAGCATTAGTGTTAGCAAATAGTACAAATGTTAAATATCCTCTCAAATGACTTTTATTGAGATGGTTGTCATAGTTCTATTGAACCAATGAGCTGATCAGAACCGATCATACTATATAGTAGTCGTGATAGACCTGAAGTTGTTTGACGTTGGAAATGTGAGACATGGGATGATCATTTTGTAATACCAATATATATCACATAACCTCATACACCTAAAGATCTTAAGCATTGTACCTTAACTGGAATTGTATTCATCATGGAGTTCTTAAAACGTATGTTGAAGAATAATACTGTCCTTTGTTTTGTGTATCAACACAAGATATATGTATAAATAAAGGGCATTAAAATAAGTAATTGATAATAGTAAAGTAAACAAATATGCACTGCAACAAACAGTTTCATTTTGCTTACAACGTATTCTACACAAAACGTTTTATCAAATAAGATTTGAGATTTTGTAAGTTTAGCTAATAATAAAACGTTTGCAATCATAATTTGTTGTTTACAAAAAACTGTATATCGATGAATACCTTCTAATGAAATTGGGTTTCATATGATTGCATAAAACACATAAATCCTCAAGTAACATACAAATAAAATTAAATTAATGTAATTTCTTTGGATCTCTAGTTGTTTATATTTTACGATGGTTTTGGATTACTTTTCATGAAGTGATTCACTGTTCATTCGAAACAACTATTGTAAGCATTTAAAATTTCATTTTCAACACAAACGGTTATTAGTTGCAAACTATTTCATCAGTGATTAAGACATTTCAACATTTAGAACTCACGATCCCATACAAGATCAAACTTGCTGAGTTGAATGAAATAATAATGGAGTATCTTTACATCAAGTGGTGACCAATGAACGTATGATTGGTAAACATAAATAATTCTGTCGACTTATTTTATCCACTTGAATCCTCACTGGTATTGTTTTGTCGGATCTCAATCTACACACGATTCATATTCTGTTGATAAAAATTAAATTATCAGATATCTTAACCTTGAATATGATAAATGGGTAGTGAAACAGTGTGGTGATGTATTCAATATGGAATTTAAATATTGGATTTTGACTATAGCCGTGCGTTTTGTTGAAAGCAAGCACAAACTGTGTATAATTGAAAGTGTCCTGTAAAAAACGATATCTTTGATTAACTGCTGCCCTAACATACATCAACACTTCAATTTCATTCATTGAAAACAATTCTCAATCGATAGAAAAAAATAGGATTAGTTATTTTTGGTGGAGTTTTGTTCTCTGAGCTCGATGGTTTAGTCGTGGAGCTTTCATCGTTCTTCTGAACGTTATCATCAGCACAAACTTCAGATAGAAGTTCACCAAAATCGTCCATCTGAGCTACAAATCTTCTCTAGGATTAGTTGTATTCCATCATACATGAGAATATTTATTTAAATTTTCCAAAATAAACAACAACACTTAAAACATTTTAGAACATCCTTAATAATTAACACAGAATAATTTATTGAAGAAAATTTCGTTCTGTCTTAGCTAATAACATGTAATATGCATTTTTTGTCACTTTTATAAGACGAAGATGGTTCACAAATATCAGTATACATTTGATGGTTATTTCGTATTAGTTTTCTGGATATCTTGATTTTCATTTTTTTTCATCGCTGATGTCCATCCAAGATGGAAATTAGTCTTAGCAAACAGTTAAACTGTTAAAAAAACTATGTCTTCTCTAACAACTTACACTGAAATGAGTTTCACAACTCTACTGAACCAATGAGCTGCTCAGGACTGATGATGTTTTATGGTATTCGTGATAGATCTATGTTTGTCTGAGGTTGTATATGTAAGCCAAAAGATGTTTATTGTGTGATGTGAATATCATGATAGCTCAGAAACCTGAAAGTTTTAAGTTCAAGTGTGTTTAATTTTGTGCGTGAGTACTGCTAGGAAGTTTCAAACTACAATGAAACAGTTGTTCATTGACCTCAGATTTCAACCATTCTCTTGTTAATGTTACTTTGTGGGGAATATTATTTTGATAATAAATATCTTGAGTTTATTGAAGACGTTAATAATGATTACAAGATGGTGTAAAAGATTAGTACTTCAGGTGGGTGATTTAGATGGAGCTGGATAGTTTGGTCATTGGACATTCATTGTTTTTCTGAACATCTTTAGCACGAAGTTCGAACACTTCATTTCTATCTGGATTTTTCATTAATGATGTTGTCCGAAAGAATAATGAGAGCTTCAAGTCGAAACAATCCAGCTCAGAGAACAAAACTACACCAACGTTATTAATGATGTAATACTAATTGACCTTTTATCTTGTCTTTTTCAGACTTTAAAAGACTACCAATTACTTCAAGACGAAATGGATTTAACTTCGGTTGGTTAGCATAAGCGAAATATCTCAAATATTTTTTTATTCTTCACATTATACACAATATGCAAATGTAATAAAATTTAAGTCGTACCAAATTGCTTTACGTTTGTGAACTCCTGACAATATGGACTGGAATAAAAAACATCTGAATTTAAATGAGAGCACTGAGTTTGAATCACTCATAACAATTGAGCCAATGGAAGTGAACAATATTATACAGGATCCACTAAATTTAACCTTCGAAGAATATGAAGTAAGTAATGTAAGCGAAACTATTGATCCATAACTGATTTCATTAATTTCACTATGAAATACATTTACGTTGTAGTGCTTTCTAGCCAAGCCATAAATATTAGTATATATTATATATAGTATTGGATTTATTGGGAACAAAGTATCACAACTCACACACCACTGTTGCATTTTGAAGGTAACAGAGATTCATTCAACTTCACTGATAATACACCTTGATGATTAGAGTCTGATAGCACGAAATTCAAATCTCAGAATTCATACGAAATCTCACTAACCAATTATTTTGTATTTTTCCTCAATCTGAAATTCAAACAGTAGAGGTCAATACAAACAATGGTACTGTTGATTGTTAAGTCATGTGAAATGTAAGTCTATCACGTACAGATTTTTATGATTTCTGTTAGGAATGTGAATAAATGCTTCACGATACAAGAGTGAGTATCTGATTTCCAGTAGAGAATAAAGGCGAAGAGGGTTAGGCTTGATGATAAGGGAGGGTTATTTAGAAGTACGAACGGATTATGACCTAGGAATCGATGGATGCATAGTTTGAGTGTGTTACTAGATTTCAGTGATAAAGAAGCTATCCATCATTATCGTGCACACGTAGTCATGTAGGTCTCATACTGTATCTTCAGTTCCGACTGTTTCCAATTTATCGACATAAAAACTGGAGATTACATTCAACTAACATACCATTCTATGCACTGTTATTTAATTTCCTTCAACATTATTTTTCAACTTAAGCAACTCAAAAGTTTTATGATTATACTTTGATATTTCTAATGAATTCTTCATTCGATCATTATCTCTCAATTCAGTATTCACTGTTACTTCCATCAAATAAATGTGATTCTATCGCATTACATTTTTTAAAGAAGAGTGAATCATGTTACGCTGTTTGTCATTCATTGTTGATACAGTTTATAATATGTAAGGTTTCCATATCAATAAGCAGTTACTTTCTCTCTTAATAAACGTAATACTAATCAGTGATTAATCTTGTGACATAAGTTATCTGAATCACCTTACTGATTGACAAACTTATTAAAGTAGTGAAATGTTACTGTTATCGTTGTTTTTTGGTTTATTCATTGGCTTCAAGTTTAAAAAAATTAATGGTGACCTGTGAAAAAGAGATGTATTAATTTACGGCGTGACTATAATTTATGGACGAAGCAATAAAATTAGACAGTGAGTCTTGGATTTCGGTGCGGAATTCATTTAAACATATGGTTATATAGAATTATGTCATTATTGTCGATGTCAGTTCGCCATGAAAACCCTTACTCTAATTCCTTGCCCTAATCCAACTCTAAATACCAATTATAATTCTTCACACTAATTAATAACTGATATAGTGACCCAGTCAGAAGTAGCCTAATGAGAAGGCCAGTCGATGATAATCAGTAGTGATCTGAAGGACAAATGCACTTCATTGGACAGGAAGTGGATTAATTTCATAAAGGGTAGAGTTGTATAAATATGAGTATTTGAGCGTTTATCCGATGGCCTAATGTGCCTTCTCGCTCAAGTAGTCAGTCGCGGGGTTTAGCGCCTAGCACATCGTGCATCACTATCAGATTCCGGACACCTCCTGTCACAACAGTAACGCACTTTCGAACATAGCAAACTGGCGAATTTCGCCAAGGTTTCTTAAGCGTCGCTCGAAGTCGTCCAAAAACTATATTCTTACCTTAAATTACATCAGTGTTTGTATCTTCATCTTGACTCATATTCTGTATGCACTAATTCAGCCATTAAATTGTAAAGTTCCGTTGAGTAACTAATAGTTTTCTGTGCTTTCTAACCATTAACAAGCTTTAAATTCTACTATAAACTTCAAAAAATAAAAATGAGGTTATTCTACAGCTTCTTACGGATTGATTACATACTATGTTTCTAGCGCTAATAAGACTTCCATCAAATATATTGAGATTATTTTTTAAACATTCAGTGACTTGGACAATATTGATTAATTATGACCTTATGCTGAACTCAATATGTATACAAAATGTTATTCAGAATGGTTTGTATTCAGTAGGTTGGTTATAATAAGGAACAAACAAAAAGAAACTTCATCAGTATTTAGTGGAATTCGACGATTGTGACGAAGTGAATTCTGACAATTTGATTATTTATGGTAGAACTCAAGCACCACGCGTCAGTAGAATATAAGCCTGTGAAACCAGTAGGACTTTGATTAAATTCGAGTATTGTAATCACTCTATATTAATGCTGATAATGTGTTAGAATGAAATCCGACATACAACGTGTCATTTATTTACTTAATTCTAAACCTAAATAAGAAATCAATATATTTTATTACGATAGTTCTGATTTCACTGTAATATTAAACACCAAATGATGTTATTTTTAAATTATTTAAAGATGATAACTACTTGGTAGATGTTTTTACCTAGTTTTGAACTCTTCGATTACATACACAAGTAAAATCTCATAGATAATTGGGTCCAGAACATGTAAGTAATACAATTGTTTACTGTTTTCTAGTACATCCAGACTTTAAAATTTTTGGATCTGAATGAACATTACTTACAGTTCACATTAATTCAAATCAGTTAACGTTTCCAAACTTACCATATGTCTTGTGTAAATTTTTGACAAGATTAATAACTATGAAGCTTATCATCATTTCTCGTGGAAACTAGACAAATGAATAGATTGATAGTTGTTTTCATTTTTTTTAGATTTAACAAATACAATAAAATCTTTTTAGAGTAAGAAGTCAAGAACTAGTTTGGGATAAAACCAAAGTGTTGTTGAATTGATTGCTTACGAGGTTTCTAGAATAAAGCGATTGTGGTTAGTAGCAGAATCTAGAATGGTAGTTTCGTTCTATTCGATACTTGTTAGCAGAGTGTACTTATATTTTGGCGATGATCTTTACAGAAGGAATCGAGCCGAATACGTTAGCTTTCATTAATAGTCTGCTAGTTTAATAAATTTGTATTTTGCTAAAGAAGCTCGGTCTTCATTTTCCAAGCTCTGTGTTTGCTTAGGGTTGTCTTTAAAAATGTGAGTTACGTTTTCACTAAATTAACCATAGTTGGGAATTGCGCAGGCATAGTCCTTTCTGACGTCTGATTATAATGTAAAATGCTTTTTAACATTAGGTGTCTATTAGCGTAATTTATGAAATCGTTCTGCCGTTGTAAGCTTAGCTTGATTAAAATCTTGTATAAGGACTTGTATTTGATTCAAAACGATAGTCTTCGACAGTCAATCTTCAAATGTTATCGTTTAGTATCCTTTTCACGACTATTTAATATATAGATTTCTGAAAAGAAAAAAGTTTTATTATTAGTAGAGATAGCACCTAACAGTGGAGTCCAGGACGTGCATTTCGTCCTATTTGGGACATGTCTGTTGGATATACCGAACAGGATGTACATATACCAATAGAAAACTGTTTAATTGCAGTCCAACACATCAACAGAAATATTCAAACAATCAGTACAATAATCGACTATACATATCATAAATACATAACACAAATTGCTATTCGGGTAAGTGAAAGTTGAAATTCCAAGCCACTTAAATTGATGATAGTATTATTTGAAGACTATACATTCAGGTAACTTATTTTAATGTTCTGCTTATTCTAATATCTACCTTTTTAAACAGACTTCGCAAATATCTGATTCAGTTCATGTATTCCCGAGTGAACCACGTGGAGTATTAAAAAAGAAACCTCGTTTCGCTGTTCCAATTATTATTGAAAGTGAAGTTGAAAAGGAAGATGTAACTGATAAAGTAAAATCTTTTATCAATGAAAATGAACTAGTTGAACAAGTAAGTTTGATTAAAATTTAATTTAAATTTTACACCTTTTATCTGATGAAAATTTTGTTGATAACAAACTGTAAAGTCAACTTTCTAATAAGTCATTTATTAAATTGATCATTCATCATTTATTATCGCCTAATTTTCAATAATTTATCTGTTGGAAGCAATATGACTGAATATTCGATATGAATCAGTCATCCTTGAATCAATCATTAGGATTCGAATAACGGTTATCAGTGGATGTAATTGTCATCTAGTATAAACTCAGTTATCTAAGAGAGGAAGACTCTGTTTGTCACTTTTACTAACATATTCACAAGTAATATCTAACTGAAAAACATTTATATATTACTAGGGACATCATAATTATCACCTGAATGTATATTGTTCCGATTTACCGTAAGTGGTGATTATTTTAAACTTTTTGATTTCTCATTATTCCACTGATGATTTCAATTCGGAAATGTCAACGATTTAACTTTTAAAATAAAACTGATTTTCTCTATGAATGGCATATGTTTTTTTGTAAACATTTAAATTTTTGCTTCGTATTGTTTATTGCTCGTAACAATTCGATTCATTTAATCTATAAAAATACATGGGGTATTGAATATTTGAAGGAGCCAGGTAGTAGACAAACCTTTGTGTTAGGATAGTCGGAAAAATATACCAATAATTATTGTGTTAAGTCTACGGTGGCCTTGGACCTTAAATGTACATTTCTTATTGGTCGATGTTTACTTCACTTGTTAAATATTTTGTAAATGTTGTTTCCTATTTTATGGTACGATGTGGTTTGTTTGCTTGGTATATAAATAGAGTATGTTTGAAATACAATGATTCATAACTCAGAGGCAGTGATTTGTGTTCTTGACTCAACTGGCTGGGACAGACAGCGAAGCAGGGCCAATCAGGGCACTAGGTCGTCCTTACGTGTATTACGTGTCACTGTCGCAGAAGCGATCGATAAATAAACGCTGCGTATCTAAAACCTGCAGTCACACACCCGTTACAACACTTTGCCTATACACTGTTCTTGATGAAGCTTTTTAAAAATGTCTATCTGTAACAATGGGAAATCACAATGCCCGCATAATCATTTAAATCTTCGTCTATCAGTACAGAAATTAGAATTAATGACTTGCTGTCAAGGTGAAAGTCAGATTTGATTTTAATAGAGATAATCAATACTGATAAATCTAAATTTATGATTATTGTATATTAATGATACTGCTAATACTTTTGTATTTTTGGAACATGTTTTGCTTGAAGTCTAATCAAGTGTGTTCATATTATGAATAGAGGATTTTATTTCTGATTTTCTGCTTTAGTGTATAGTCAGTATATCTGAGTTAAATGGCTAGAGTTAGACTGCAGGAAACCTTGGACACTGGTTTCATGCCGGCTGACAGTTATAATCAGGGTCCATGGTTTATCGTCAACTAAATTCAATTCAGTCTAACATTCAAACACGGTGCCTGCATGTTGAGTCGCTTAAACTAGTGGAAAGATTGCAACTTCATTGACAATATTACTGAAACACTAAGGATTGAACAAACATGAAGTCCGTTACTAATCACTGATTAGTCAGTGTAAATATCTATTTTTCATAAACCGTTCTTATAATTCACTTACGTTGTTTCATTTAAAGTGACGTGTGGACAGTAGAAAAAGCATACAGCTGATGTTTGCATAGCTTTTTTCTTATTAACTCAATAAATTGTGATACTTCAACATTTATGTTACAGATGGACAATATTTCGTTTGAGGAGTATTCCGAAAAAGTAACTGATTTAGAATGTCAAGAAATGTGAGTCTCAGTTTCATGTTATTGTTTATTGTTTATTTCATGAATATACTTACAAAGGCAAACCTTTTTTTAAAAAAGGCTTATTCACAATTTGTAATGACGTATACATATTTCAGTAGTTAAATATAATAATCTCGTTGCTTATAAATAAGATAAGCTTTGAAAACAAGTTACGACATGGAAATATTTTAGAAGAAAGTTTACCTTAACAGGTATCAGTTACTTAAACTTAAAGTTCACAAGTAAAAATTAAACTTAATTTTAATAAATAAGTAGGTCTTAAATATGATAAAATTTATGTCGAAATTCATAGATAAGTATAGTTTAATAATGTAATTGAGTTCATGAACCAATCAATGTTAGACCATTATTGAGAACCTGGAAGCAATGGATGACCGTTTCATCCTAGTATGGGACACCACAGCAGTACGCATCCACGATCCTACATGTGGAATTCAAACCTAGGGCCTTCGGTCTCGTGCACGGACGTTTAACCTTCAGACCACTGAGCTAGTTGGTATCCAGAGGTGTTACTGTCTAACCTCAAACAGTCCGCGAAATTGCCTGACCATCTTCCACTGTACTGAGGTAGACATCTGTCTCCACTGGTCACGGCTTCTCACTAAAACTCCGAGAATTCCCTCATGAAGCTAGTCACTAGTGGTCACATGGTTAGTAGTCATTGCTCAATAATAAGTTAATATTTAAATAATATTTGAATAACCATCTCAAAGTTGATAGTGCAGAATTATGTATGATTCAATTATCTTTCTTGCCTAAACAACCGGTAAAAACAAAATAATTCCTAATCGTTATTTTTACGTACATTACAGTTTGGGATATTTAACATTCGAATATATTTGTAAACAAACATTGACCCTATTTCATTTTGTTGTCTGAGTCACAGTTTAAACTGCATTCTAATTGATTATTCAGTTGTTGTTTTTTTCTGGTCTAATATTTTCGCTATTCATCTCTTCAGGTTTTTCGATGAATTAGGATTTCTTGTTATAAAATGACTCATTTGATTTTTATTTTAGCAGACACAATATAATTGTCTCATATAAATAACACAACAGCAGGTACTAAGTCTACAACGTGACAAAGTGGCTAATAGGTAAACAACAATACATAAGACATCCATTATTTACTTTTATACTTGACATGTATTTCCAATATATTTTTTCATAAACACCTTTTTTTTATAAAATGAGAGTAATTTTTATCATAAACTTATATTATCTATAGGTATATTCAAAATCAGAAAGCACTGAACACTTGTCTCATTTTTCCCATGTGACCTGGAGGTTTGATTGTTTGGACACAGTTCTCTTAAATAATTTTATGTAATATAGTATATGATAGTGTAAAAATAATTTACTTCAGTGATATTTATTTTGAAAGTAGTTGGATCTAAGTTTAGATAAATATATTGTTGCATTGAGCGGTCATGGTGTCGATTCTGATACCTTTGAATAGGGCAAGAAGAATAATAGAATATCATTAATTCATTTTATTTCCACTGAACACTTTATCACTCATCATTTTTTTTGTGTAATTAGCACTTCCATAAATAAACATAAGTAGGCCTTGGTATATACGATAGATAGTCTCAAAAAAAGACACTTCCAATGCTATAGAAACCGACAAGCTACAACCATACTACCAATTATACGAGAGTATGTGCAGCCGGGAACTAAAATATACACGGATGACTGGAGAATGAATCGATGCTTACATAGACTTGATTATAAGCCACGTGTCGTCGTCCACAAGCGGCATTTTGTAGACCACACAATCGGAGTACACACAAATATCATAGAAGCAATGTGGTCGAGGTTAAAATAATTTTTGCTACCTTATCATGGCTCCAGAGGTCGACTATTATGGGGTCACATGGATGAGTTCCTGTAACATGTGTAACGGTAGAGCCTCTTTCTAATCTTAAAAGATTTTTAAACCATATTAAACAAATGTATCCACTACAAGCTTTTCATTTTGTATCATATATTGTTATTGTACACCGTCTGTCTCCTTATTGGCTGAAATTTCTCAAGGTTATTTAAGATTACTTCAAAGGTCGTCCATAGTAAATAGTCTCTCCAACCAGGCATATGTTTGACTCGCTTTTGCCCATCAAACAGTGAATGAGGCATTTTTCTTCTAAACATTTTTTATATCTATAATTACACTTTGTTTTAGTTAAATTCTTTTTAAAAAAATTATTTTTTTCTCACTACGCCTATCATCCTGTTTATAAGCAACAGAGAAACATTATATAATTTATCATTGTTTAACAAATATATTAGGAGAGAAATATATCATTAACAAAATGGATTATGTTTTGTTCTTTTTAGAGAACAAAAAGAATAACACATAGTCTATTTTTACAAAAATTCAACGTGGTTGTTTTGTAAACATTTACCATCAGTTGAATGAGTGATTGTAAGCCATTTTTTCTTTGGTACACACCAACGTCTTCGGGAATATATGTGCAAACAATTGTTTCCTACGATTTGATAGATCATCTTTTTGTTAATAGGAATTTGATGAGCGTCTGTATTGGACAGACCGTCGTTGAAGCTATTAAAAAGTTTACTTTTAAAGGAGATTATACTATTGTGGATTATATAAAACCAAGGAAATTAACTATCCTGTTTTATGTATTAAGTATACAATATATATTGTAGATGAAAATTGTTTCATTTAATCTCTCGGGACCTTGACATATAATGAACATTATTATTTACCGTCGTTTTTCATCAATTCCATGTTCACTGATGTAACTAAATATGTTGAGAAGATTGTATTTTGATAATACCTGAACAACTGATTACTAACTTACTTACTTACTTACGCCTGTTACTCCTTGTGAAGGAACATAGGCCGCTCACCAGCATTCTCCATCCAACCCTATCCTGGGAAATCCTTTCCAGCTCTTTCCAGTTGTTGTTCATCTTTTTCAAGTCTGATTCTCTTTCCCGACGTAATGTGTTCTTAGACCTTCCTCTTTTGCGCTTCCCTTCAGGATTCCAAGTTGGGGCTTACCTCGAGGTGCAGTTTAATGATTTGCGTAATGTATGTCCTATCCATTTCCATCGTCTTTTCTTAATTTCTTCTTCAGCTGGAAGCTAGTTTGTTCTCTCTCACAGAAGGCTGTTACTGATGGTATCCGGCCAATGGATGTTAAGTATCTTGCGTAGATGGCTATTTATAAGTACTTACACCTTCTTGATAGTGGTTGTTGTAGTTCTCGCAGTTTCAACTCCGTGTATGTTGAGGCCTACTGATGCAGAGACTGCTGTTACACTGGCTGTCTTTATCTGCATTTGTTCATGTGTATGCGATAGGAGGACTAGGTGATCTGCGAAGTCCAAATCGTCTAATTGATTTTTAGCTGTCGATTTTATTGTGTGTTTTCCCTCAGATGTCAAGGTCTTCATAATCCAGTCGACCACCAGAAGAAAGAGGAAGGAAGAGAGTAGACAGTATTGTTTGATTAACTACTTTATAAAAAACATAGGTTTCAGTGATTTTCTAATTTTCTTCAAAATAAACATCACTCTCTGTTAAACGCTGTGATTAGTTTATATTCACTACGTATTCACTTAATTTTAATACATCAAATTATTTGTATAGTAACTAAAGTATACTCTGAGGCTTACCAGTTTCCTCAATTTCTCAATGCTGCTTATCAGACAGTTTAGACAGGGCTTCTGTGTGTATGAATGTGTGCAAATCACAAAATAAATTCATTTCTGTGTTTTATTTCATATTATTCAGATGTTCAATTACCGAACAGAATGCTCGTTTAGATCAATTAACTTCACGAATTTTTGGTAAGTGATTTGTGAAAAGTGAAAATTCATAAGGAAACTAAATATTTTTTTATTTCATGAGATGATTGTTAACTGTAAACAGCTCAAGAAAAAGAATTATGCCGATCGTAACAGTGAAAGAGCATTACATCTCTTAAAACTATGAGAATCTAGTAGAACTTAAGATTTGAAGTTTAGAAACGTGGTGATAAAAAAAAAGAATTTAATTTCAGTATCACTTCTATTATTTCTATGATTGGATAATTTTTGAAATAATACAAATTGTGAAGAGAGGGAGCTTGATAATAGAGGAAATCCTGATGTACATATATCTATTTCTTTTAACAAAATGTTTGTTCTCTGGTGATATTGTGCGTCGGAAATAAACGGGTTTGTTCATGGATCTTCAATGTTCTTTCTAAATAGCATCATCAGCGTGCTTACATTATATTTCAGCTATCACTCTGTCATGATTTATATTTATTGGTAAAAGAAGAATAACAGTAAATATCACTCTTCGTTAGCTGAATTATTATAATTAAAAGTCATAATACATAACCGAATCGATCATATTTACTTACTCAAACACGCCTATTACACCACATGGAGGAGCGTAGGTCGCTCGTCAGGGTTCTTCATTGAACTCTGTTCTCCATTCTCCTCTACAGTTATTTCCAAGTTCTATTCATTTTTTTATGTCTGCCTCCAATTACCGACGCTATTCGTTCCTTGGTGTAATTGTTTTCCTTATCATTTCTGCATTTCAAGTAAGCTCTTGCCTTTTGATGCAGTCAGATGATTTCTGGATGTATTTCCTATCCACTTGAAGCGTCTCTTCATAATTTCATCTCCAGCATCATAAAAAATTCAGGATTTTAATGGAAGATATGGGACCCAATAGACGAGCTTACGTAGCTTCAGATCACCACCTGGTTGTGGCTATGATGAAAGGGAGGGTAGAGAAGCAACAGACAACTGTAGAAACAGGATTACAAATGTTTCATACAGCCTTCCTTCGAGATACTGACAAACAAATATAATTCAAGATAGCTCTCAACAACAGGTTTCGAGCCCTACAAAATCTACTAAAAGAAGAGGATATCACTATGGAGAATCATTGACATCAACGTGTCAGGAGGTTCTGGGACACAATAATCGTCATAATAAGCAGTGGAATTTTATAGAAACCATAAACAATACTCGAGAAAGAAAAAACAAGAAGATAGCGATTAACAACGGCCGAACAAGAAAAGAGAAAGTCAAGGCACAGGACGACTACACTAAAGTGGACATGAGAGTGAAGAAGATCCTTAGGGCCGATAAGTAGAAATACGCTTAAGGGCTATCAACGCCAGAGGAGAGGGTAACATGAGACAAACATATGACACAAAGAAGAAAATGAAAGGGAAACATAGTAAACCAGAACGATCAGTCAACGACATTAAAGGCAAGACAATCGATCATATTCAAGAACAAAGGAGCAGATGGGGAGAACATATCGAGGAAATCTTGAATAGACCAGTTTCATTGAATCAGTCGGACATCGAAGTATCACACATACATTCCTATAGATGTCACTTCAGCAGTGATAGAAAAAATCAGGAGGATCGGTCATCAGACAAATCAAGAGTGGGAAAGCAGTTGAAACCGACAACGTACCAGTTGAAGCACTAAACTCACATATACAAGTAACTGCAAACATGTTACCTTCTCAATTTAGGAAGATTTGGAAGGAAGAACAAGTGTCACTGACAGACTAGAAAGAAGGATATCTTATCAAAATACCAAACAAAGGAGATCGGAGTAAATATGAGAACTACAGAGGCACCACACTATTGTCAATAATAGGAAAGTTGTTCAACAGAGTATTGCTGAACCTGATGAAAGATTCAGTGGACGACCGACTTCGAGATCAACAGCTTGGATTCCGTAAGGATCGGTCATGCACACACCAAATAGCGACACTACGAACCATCGTTGAATAATCAATTGAGTGGAACTTCTCACTATATATTAGCTTCCTTGATTATGAAAAGTATATGACAGTGTGGATAGGAGATAAATTATGGGAACTTATTCGACATAGTGGTGAGAGTAGCTGTGAAAATCGTGAACATCATCAGGAATTCATATGACGAACTACAGTGCAAAATGGTGCATATAGGACTGCTGACAGATGTACTCCAATTGTAAACCGGTGTCAGACAAGGCTCCTTGCTCTGAACCTTCCCCTTTTCCTGGTTGTCGAATCGATTATGAAGACTTCCATGTCTGAGGGGAAGCACGGAATGTAATGAACAACTTTTTGTGACTAGACGGTTTGAACTTTGCAGATGACCTGGCTCTTCTATCCCATGCACAGCAATAATTGTGGATGAAGATATTCAGTGTTGTGGCAGCTTCTGAAGCAGTAGATCTCAACATGTACATGGGAAAAAAGCAAGATACTGAAATACAAAACAGAGGACACCAAACCACACTTTATGTGTAGCTATGGAAACCTACACGTACCATAGGAGCATCATCGATGAAGAATGAAATTCGGATACAGATGTAGAGACATGGATTGACATCACAATGGGAATATTCTTACAATTGAAAAACATATGAAACTCAAAACAGCTTTCTGTCAGCCAACATCAAAATCAGAATGTTCATTACGAACGTCAAGACAGTTCTACATTATGGAGATGAAACTTGTAGAACTACCACTACAACTTGAAATTCTGAGAGGGACAAGGAAAATAGGAAGACCAGGGAACACATTGCGTCAAGAATTGAAGTCAGACATTAAAAAAGTGAGAGGAGGAGAGGAGAACTAAGGACAGAGTTCGATGGAGAACCCTGACGAGCGACCTATGCTCCTCCAAGTGGTGTAAAAGACCTGAGTATATAAGGGTTATGTAATCGAAATTTAACGACTGTTTAATCCTCAGAAAAAAATATTGTCATTAATTTGAAATGATTTGTCGACCCGATTCCGACAAAATACCCTACGTTATAGATTGCCATGTGACTGAAATATTTTGTGAAATCATAAAATATAATGAATTCATGTTATTCTGTATCAGTTGTTGTTTTTGCTTAATTCAAATTCATAACGAGACCCAATGGCATGGATTTTGTTTTAAATTTCGTTATGTTTATTAAAAGGTAAATATTCGTAATCGTTGAATAGAACGAATTAACTAATAACATGTTGAGGTTGAGAAATCTATCAATTGTATTTATTTTATAATAAAGTTCACTGCAATTTTGAATACTGTGATGTTTTTTTTAGTAAAAGCATGTGTTTGATCTCTGGTACGTCCTTAGTGTCATGCTAAGAAGAATGGCTATCCAGTGGCCGATGGTTTTCGGTATTTCTCATGGTAAAATCAGTCCACAACGCAAACTATAAAAATAGGGAATTATGTCAACTGTCCTAGCACAGAATCAAAGAAATTCAGTCTTAGTTGAAGCGAAAATCAAATGACCCATAAAAAGCATTGATTCGTCATATTTTGGTTTCTATTATTTTAAACATTTCGTGTAGATTTATGCTAATGTGCGTACAAGCCTTCTAAACACGTTTTATTCCATTTTTAGCCACTATTCTACCGGAAAATGTACCTGTTGAACAGTCGAAACAAGATGTGAAACAGGCATATAAACGTTTAAATATGATAACAAATGGTGCACAAGTTTTGGTAAATCAGTACATTTCATTCAATATATTTATTAATTACAGTGGTGTAAATTATGTCGTCATAATCAACAAATTTAGTCCATTTGCATTATCCCTTTCAACTATTATTCCGTAAGAAATAAAGGTTTCTGTTTATTTATGAGTGAAGAAGCTGTTGGGTGTTTATCTACCAATCATTTTACTGAGGGTACGATAAAATTACAGCAGCATAGACACTAGATGTTTAAAAAAAAGACCATAACTCAGTGAGTAAAATACGAAAGCCTCGGTTATTGAATTTCAGGCCCTAGCTGTATCATTTCTACTCCAAACATGTTAATCAGGTAGTATCAAAATTGTTCACATTACAATGTATGTAGTTTGAACGTTTGGATACTAATTTGTTATCATTAATTGAGGCATACTAAATACCTGTAGTTTTAAATTTACTTTACTGAGTAGGATACACTCAACATACATAATCATTGCTAAAATAAACTGTATTAATTCGTTCACTTGGTATTGTTTTACTTGAATCTTCCCATTGGTGTTTAGGACTGCAGTTGATCAGTCACTTATTGGCAGATGTGCATACTGTGCGGATTGCTTCGATATTGCCTTAATTTACAAACATTATAGGCAAAGACAGATAGTGGCTAGCAGTAGAATCCAGGACGAGCGTTTCGTCCTGTTTGGGACTTGTAAGATGGATGTACCTGCATCTCAGAGTTGATGTTCACTCCGGGACTCGGCCCCATTACTGTTCGCTTCAAACGCCACCGCGTTATCCACTTAGCTACTAAGTCCTGATAGCCACTCAGTAGCTAAGTGGATAACGCGATGGAGTTTGAAGCGAACGGTAATGGGTTCGAGTCCCGGAGTGAACATCAACTCTGAGATGCAGGTACATCCATCTGACAAGTCCCAAATAGGTCGAAACGCGCGTCCTGGATTCCACTGCTAGCTACTATCCATCTTTGTATTCATTTGTGTTGTTAAGTGTTACAGATGTTAGATAATGTTTGAAATATTCAGTGCCTGAATAAGATCTTTGATAAATAAATTCTATGTAATAGGTTAAAGAAACCTTACAGCCAAGTATTTAATATTGAAATGAACTATTCAATGATAATCATTATTGATGTGTGGTCGAGAGTGATAATGACTGGCTGTCTGCTTAGTCAAACATGTAGATAGTTTGACAGGTGTCAGATGAGTTATATATTCCCCCATCCTTGTTATTATGACTCACTTATTATTGATTGTTCATTGTTGTTGGGGTTGTGTCGGGTTTTGGTTTGGGAATATATTTACGTTGTGGTCAGGCTAATCACATGTTCTTGATCTGAGTTGTGTTAAGTCTTGTAGAATAGACACAGGAAGGGGAATCTAGTGCAGATATTAGTCTAAGGTAAATTAACGTCTCATACGTGTAAAAGTGGAAACCCAACCGTTATAACATTAGACGAAGTAAAACCGAGCGTTATAACAATTGGCGACGGGTTGAAAAACAAAGAACCATGGATACAAACCACAAGTTATAACAATTATATACACATTATTTCCTTAATCAACTTGGAAATATTATGAATAAAAATTCCAACAGAATAACTATTGGATTTAATTTGTCCTACAGATATGCTACTGGAACCATGAACGCGATGCTGCCGACCACAGAGCCTATCTGAAAGCTGTAGTAAGAACAAAGGCAACTTGGCTTTTAACTTGATCTGTTTCTAAACGTAAAAATAATTTGATTAGTACAATAAATAAATGAATTATATCCATTATGTGGATCGCATAAACATACAGACCAGTATTGCGTGTCTTATCGAACTGAAAAGAAAATTATGATTCACACTAATATATAGGATAATAATGTCCTTCAGTTAGTAGGTCACATGCAACAGGGATAATCTATAGATAAATCAGACCATATTGACGCAGTGAACGTTTAAGCAACGATTCGATTAGTTAGTCATGGACATAACTAACAATAACATCCTAATTTATTAGATTATTATCTGCTAATCACTATTTGAAAAGCATTAATTTAATCAGATCACAGAACAGATAAACACAATAGTTTCTAAAAAATAATTGTTTGACTAAAGATTAAAGTTCAGATATCTTAAATAAACGGTTAATATGAATACCCATTATGGGAAGAACTTAAAATATTTTGATGGAGTTTTGTTCTGTAACCTGGATGGTTTGGTCGTGAAGTTTTCATCGTTATTTTGAACGATATCATCAGCACAAATCCTCTACCTGAATTTTGTGCTGATGATATCGTTCAGAATAACGATGAAATTTCCACGACCAAACTATCCAAGTCAAAGAACAAAAGTCCATCAAAATCATCCACGTGAACTACGAATCTTCTCTACCATCTCAAGAACTTAAAATATAATTAACATTTTGAATATAGTCTTAACCATCGACTGATAATAATATTAATTTAGTTGACAATTTAACATGCTAGTTATAATTAACTAATAAAAAATTGTATCCTGATAATGCATAATGCCATAAATCAATAATGTAAGGTATGAATGAATGGAGTTTATAGGCTTATTTATATTTACAATAAAATTCAGCTTTAAATCGGTTGTGTAAAGTCGTAAATTAAATATAGATTGTTATTCTTACCACTGAACCATAATTAAAACGGTATTTAGTTTACTTTTATTAATGTAATATAGAACAGTGTCAACTAGATACAGTTATAATACAATTTTCCTACATTTATAGGATTTTAAAAGTGTCTTATGTTTTAGTATAACCAACACAGTAATCATTAAATAAAGATCTTAATACCACACGTTACATCAAGATTTTATTTAACGTTTATTAGAGAATGTTTCTTCCATAGTTTATTTATCTGGACGAATGGTCTTCCACTTAATAGGCGCCGTTTCTTTACTTAAGTTGATAATGCTTTAAAGATAATGGTATATGTATTTGTAGAATTATGGTCTACTATGATATTAGTACTGCTCTAATAATAGACCTAATCCTAAAATTGTAAATTTTTCATGATATAACTGCCTAATCTATAAGATCTTACGTGGAAGTCACACTATCGACTACGCCAAATCACTGTATCGTATCAATTACCAAAACATGATGTAGAACAAGGTTAGGCTAGAGAAAGAACAATATATTTAATATGAATAGAAGATATAAGGTACCATTCAGATGGACCACGCCTGGATGGCTGAGCCATGCCGTTCGATCAACTCTAATTCATTCAATACCTTCTTCCCACCTTCTCCATCGTTAGGTATTTCTCCGCGTTAAATATTGAATATCTATTTTCCGAGTAGTCTCGTGTCCAGCTTTGGGGATTGTGTGGTTATTGTCCAATGCCATTACATATTCTTCCTCGTTCCTAATTTGATCTGCAATGAATGTAGATTACTAGATCTATGTAATATATTTAAAGTTTCTCACTTGCCCTGCGAATGTCAGTGGTACTGAATGCCTGTTTATATCAGAATGGCTTTATATAGATTTATTGGCTGGGCAGGATAATTTATAGTATCAGTCTTTTCCTATGAATTTGGAAGATCGATAACCAATTACTTTACTTTAATGATAGGTAGTTAGGAATTTTAAAAAATGACTAAACAACAAACTAACTATTGACAACCTGTACTGAGTGATTCATTAGACAAAATTATAACCACAACAATTTTGTTTCATTATAAATGACTCATCTGGTATTAAGTAGATAATGTTTATATGCTATGGAAATGATAATTCAGATAAATGATAAAGAACTCACTTGATTGAAAAATTCAATATAACAACTTAATGAATAACACTTCTGGGGACGAATGATACTTGCCTATTAAAGGAATAGTATATTGAACATCTGCTAATACGTAGTTCTGTATTTAATAGCACTTTAGTTGTAAGCTTAATTTCGAGATTACCAGCACTAAACACTGAACGTCAAACAAATAAAAGATGTGAAAATGGATCAGTAGATCTGAATTACATTAACTGCTGAAAGATGTAAGCTTCTGGTTGGCAGATAAAGCGATTCGTACGGAAAGTCGTTGATCGTAACCACATAGAAATATTTGGTTCCTGTTCTTGAACAAACCTTGATGTGTGTCTTCAGTTAGATTAATGTCCTTTTAAGGTTAAGAATAGTAGTGTCAAGAGTTAAGCGCACATGTGCTGATTATTTGTACGATTATCTAAAATTTATCAACTTGCTTTTTTGTAGTAAAAATTACAAATTCCTAACCGAATATTAGGTGAAACAAAGTTTTCACGAAAGTAGGAAAGAATTATGGTTAAAAATGACAAAAGATGACCAACTAAATAGCTCTCAGTGATCCAAATAGTTTACATAGTATAATGCTTATAATTACGTTTGTCAGATGAATGAATATTAAACGACACAGAGGTAACAAACTGCAATTAAAATGTTAAATGTCCGTCTAATATACTGTATGTAAGAATTAAGAATTGTTCCTTTGTTCGAATATTTCTTTTCTTTTCCAATAGGTATTCAATTGTTCACAAACTAATTTACGTTTGGACAGAATATTTCAAAAAGTGGGTAAAGCAAACTAAAATTCATTATGTGTAAAAATTATATTTAAAATTATCCCAGTGTTTGAAATATATATAATTCCGTCATTCCGTCCAATAATCTTGTCTGAACGTCTTCTGGGCAATAACCAACATAAATTTCAATCATTTAAATAACCACGCAAAAGTTATACTCAGTTCATTAACGAAAAGTTCACAGACTAACTTTGAATTTAAGTCCCTAATCTGACTACCAAATTCGTTTTATATTGACTGGGGTTCAAAAACCCCTGTACATTTTTTATTGAGATGATTACTGAATTAGACTAAGTGGTTTTCATATAGTTTCATTCCCTGAATATACGTTTTGTAACTATGAGTTGTTCACTACCAGTGAATAAACAAAAAAAATATATCTAAAGTTATGCAGAAACCCAGAAAGACAGATTTATTGGTACACGATAAACATACATTTAACTTGGTATTATGATCTAAATTTAGCTAGACTACAGAGAGTTTTCATCTCTAATTTGATCAGGGAATTCAAAACTCTGCTGACATTTTGTTCATATGATTTGTTCTATATATTCATTACGAAGATCTAATAGATTGCTTTCCATTAACTATTTTTAATCGGATACGTTTGTCACTTAAAAAATATCATAAATCATCCTATTCAGTACTTAAATTTGGATTATTTTACAAATAGCATATTCAGAGTTTAATATTTCATATTGGTGGGAAAAAATTAACTTTGACTAAACACGTCATGGCTCAAAGATTTCCCATAATACAAACTAACTAATACAATTAGCGACTGTAATGAAAGACAACTGTGGTGAGGGAAAACTATGTTTACAAATATGCGTGTAATTTCTTGAAGTATAAACTGTAGTTTACAATCTGCAAATTAATTTCTTTCTTAATCATTTTACAGTCTCAAAGTAAGCTTTCAACTAAGTGTTACACTTTAGGTCTGTCTAGATATTTCAAATGAGTTTCAGTATTCACTAGAAAGTAAGAATAAAACTAATAGAGAATCAATGGACATCAAACGAATAATTTCTGTCATTGTAATAATAGTGTTTTTTAGCGAGCTAGTTCTCTATGGGTTGGGGTCACTAACCCCATTCCCTACCGTCATACTTTATTCGAGCTTGGGACCGGCAGGTAGCCCCAGAGGAACTGCAGGCGGATTGTATATCACGGTCCAGTGTAAATGTGTATATTGAAAACATTGATGGTTGTAAAAATGTTGATATGACGGTTGAGAGAAAGAAGAAAGGTGAAATTCATATGATTTATTATACACCAAAAAATAGTCAAATGTTAAATAAATTCATTAGAGTATTAATTATGACTAAAATATTAATAACTTATAGTGTATACCCATAGTTTGTAAACATCGTAAGATTAAATTACAACAACGGACAAATATAATGAATATACTGAGTTACAATACTACTCCGTCTTAATAACTACTACATCTACTCCGTTGTAAATCTATTGATTTCAGTGTTAAACTGTTTTATTTTTTTGTGAACTGTGATATGTTGTTTACAAGCAAAGACGACGAAAGCCTTATTTAGCTTTTTATTATTTTTCCTTACTTCAGGTTCAAAATTGTGTATTCTCTTTAACAAGCTTTCCTAATTTAGCAACAATGGTTGTATTTTGTCAAAAAGTTTATGATTGGTTAGCACTAGATGAATATCACATAATTCTACTTCATGCTGAAGGTGAACAAGCAAAAATTCGTTTAATGTTACTTGTTCTTGCATTGGATTCATTCTATGGATCAATTAATAAGTAAGTCATTTTGTTCTGTTGAATAGATGACTTTTGGTATGTATATACAAAGATGGTTTCTATGAAACAAATTAGCTTGTGAAATGTCACGATAGATGACTCACATTGTCATGTATAATTCTGTAGTTCATAGCTTTTAAAGCCTTTGTTCAATACAAATATAAGAAAAACTAATTAAATGGGAACTGTTCTCAATGTTTAAGCATATGAATAAAGTATATTAAACTTTTGAATCAATTTCGTGGAAGAAAATGAAATCATAATTTGTCGGCCCAATGAATAGAACTTGTTTAAAACAATGAAATGTAATGCAATACTATTCTAATGAAGTAATCAATGTATTTATTCTCAAACATACAGATGTATTTCGAAGTCAATATATTTTTGACATAAAGAAGTAAAGAGAAAACAACGTAAAATAGTTTTCCTTAATGGAAATCACTTTTGTGATGGAGTTTGTTCTCTGAGCTGGTTTGCTCGTGGAGCATTCATTGTCCTTCTGAACGATATCATCAGCACAAACTTCAGGTAGAAGTTCATCAAAATCATCCACTTGAGCTACAAGTCTCCTCCGCCACTTCAAAATCACTTTGTTTGGTATTGAATAAGATATACCTTGTGCGAAAAAAAGGACTGAAACTCAAAAAATTATTAACTAATATTCCGAATTTCACTATGACAGAATTTACTTGCGTTAAATATAAAACAACTCACGGAACAGAAGGTTAAATAATAACAAAATGATTGATTAACACTTTTCGTATTTATCTAGACGGATAATGTTAAAAATTGCATTTTGTGAATTATGTCTTATATGTACGTAATATGAGTTGATTATAACGCTCCCATTCAAGGTAAGAGAAGAAGTATCTACAGTCAATTACTAACAGATATAAAATAGTGCATTTTTCGCCTTTTATCTTACTATCCTATGTAATATTAAGGGTTTTATCATGAGTGAAACGGTTATTCGTACCAGATTTAGCATTAGATCAATCTGAACATCATCATGAAATATTTGATAATTGAAGAATGGACTTTCTCATGTACTGTCTATGAGCATTTCACTAATTTTTCACTATATATAATTTCATCGTATTTTTTCAATTTGTTATTGACGTTTGGTGTAATATTATTATTAATGAATGAGAAATTGTTTAAGGTAGTGAAATCCCAAGCCATTAAAATTGTTATCAGAGAACACAGTTAATAGTATTCTTATCTCATTATTAACAGAAATGCTGGAGTTGTTTATTATAGCTATTTTTCAATTTCAAAAGTAGTTTACTATGTATAAGCCGAAGAAAAATATTAAAAAGCTTTGAGTAATGAATATGTGATTCATTTCATTTTAGAACTTCACAGAACTATTCACCCATGGCTTATTATACTACAAAAAGGCTAACAAAAGGTTGTTAGATCTCATAGATTAAATGACTTTAAAATTTGAACCAGTTACATTCATTTCAATATTCTAAGAGTATCGAGTTTGCAACAGTTTTAAAGAGCTATGAGTTTCGATTGCTGCAGTGTTGTGAGTCTACATTGGGTAGTTCAAAATTAAGGTTATTCATGCATCATTTTCGATACAAAAGATTTTCTGCCCAAATTATATCCGTTTTTTCTAGTTTGTTCTGAACAACCAATAATAACAAAATGGCATTTGTAGTTACATAAGCTAGCAATATGTGAAAATATTTTGGCGTTCCTCAGCATTTATCACAGCTAGTAGTGTTCGTAAACATAACAAATATCCGGACGAAGTCATGATCAATAATGCTGATCTTAAAGGTGACAGTTATTGATGGGTTGGATAGAAATGAAATGTTTCTTAAGGCATAAGAGTAAATTTCACTTCATACACTTTTATATTCGTTTAGATACCGGAATAACGACACTTACTCCCTACGACGTTATATTTCATCCCATCTTAATGGCTTCCCTCATGTTCCGGTTGGTTGGATGAGGTTTGTTACATTTTCATTATTGAAATGATTTTTTGAGTTCATTTTGCAAGTCCGGATATTTTTGCGCTACTTCTTTCCGTTTTTAACTATCGCTACTAGCATCAATATTAGTAGTAAAACAGATTCTCAGAAATATTTACGTTTATGTTTCAGTTCAGTATTCGCTGACCATCTGGACAATTATGGAAATTGTTTCTGACACAAGTGACGTTCTGCAGAAATGAAAGAAATTACGAACAATTGGTCACTGTTTAATGACTAATTTCACGTTTCTTTAATTACTGGTTGGACTCAAATGATAAAGTGATTATTAGAATACTACAGGATCAAAATATCTAATCAAGCTACGGTTCAATGATTAATCGGTAGTAAATATTGTGACTTTCCAACTTTTCTGAGTTTAAATATTGACCACTGGTTAATTTTCAATGTAATTTTACGAAGGATTCTTCGGTCAGGTTTAAAAAGCTTCACTTGTCTCAACAATCTGATCGATAAAGACAAACACGTATATATATATACATTCAATTATTAGTCTATTAGAAAACTAAAGTAATTATTCCATTAACTGTATTGATACTACGTAATTATCTAGAGTTTAAGAGAAGGTTATTCATGGATCATAATCTCATGAATGTCCCTTATTATTTTTAATAACAAACATTTGTTAAACAAGATTACCAACTTCAACCAAAGAGCATCACCATGAAACAGTTCGTGAATTTTCTTAGATGGAAATATTTCACAATATTTACTACCGATTAATCATTGAACCGTAGCTTGATTAGATATTTTGATCCTGTAGTATTCTAATAATCACTTTATCATTTGAGTCCAACCAGTAATTAAAGAAACGTGAAATTAGTCATTAAACAGTGACCAATTGTTTGTAATTTCTTTCATTTCTGCAGAACGTCACTTGTGTCAGAAACAATTTCCATAATTGTCCAGATTATTGACGTGGGTTCAAATCTCATACAGATCATTAATCTTATCGAAATTTAGGTATATCTTGTTGGGGTTTATCAATTAACGAGAAACTTGGTTTGAGGTTATCCTATGGACAGCCACCTAATATATCACGAAGTCACATTCTACAATAGATAGAGGAAATGCATACCAAACAAACCGTTCTGGAGACTCTAAGTGAGAGATGACTATTAAAATACCAATATTTGGTTCAAAACATGGGTAAATTTAAACACTATCAACTGTTGAGTTTCAATAAAAATATATGATCAAACAATTACAAAATAGTCGTAAATAATTCCAGTATTAAGATGTGCTGCTTACATTCCTCCTTCCCGTGACATATAAAGCTTACGTATATATATATGTAGACTGAGTGATCATTTAAAAAAATTATCAAATTTTATGTGAATTTTGTAAACTTTATTTTGTCAATGAAATAAACAAGTATTCATACTACCTAATTAAAAATAAGTAGTCATACCTGTGTAAAACCAAAAGTATAAAACCGACCAACTACGGAATTAACTACTAGCTCTATAGAAAAATCAAATAACAGAATAAATTATAATAACTTGCATGTAAAAGAATGTAACAAAAAAACATCATAATTTAATATTGGTGTTTTTGAAGGTGGGAAGAATTAGTTTGACGTCCGTACAAAGAAAAATGTTACACAAAACTTTACTTTTATAAATTGATTTTTTTTTGACAGATACATAAATCAATGAATGTCTAAAAAACCTTTTAAGTAAATTTAAAATGGGAATCACAAAAGGGAAAGTGAAGTTTAGATGAGCTATTTGTTTTGTGTGTTATTAGTTTAAAAGGAAACAAATTTCAGCTTTAATGACATGTGTAACCAAGACGATAAATAGTTTAATTTTGTGAAGGCCTTCAGAAGTTTTAAAGTTGTAAAGAATGCTGTTAGCATAAACAAATATGGTTGAAAAACTCCTATATTATTTGATCAATAAAATTTATCACGTATATTGGTTTGTGGTTCCTTTCGTCCACCATAGATACCCTATTATAATTGATTATTTGGATATGTCAGAGATGGAATACAAGATTACATAGAAAGACGGAGCAATTTTTACTTTCATGTATTTTTTCATAAACAGACTGATCTTGAGGGGTTTACCTCAGCTATGTGAGTGATACAGTTATTCAAAAGAGCTCATCTATGCTTGTATCTAATAAACCAAGCAGCTTAAAAACGTGATATAACTCGGCGGGTTTAATCAGTATGCCAATTTTGATTATGTGTTATATAACGCAGTATTAACTTCTGAGACAGTTGATGAGAGGTTATGAAATCTAAATATATGTCAGCTGGAGCTTGTCAGAAAGGTGTACATGTAGTCTCGAGAGAATTAATTCTCAGAAGAAATTTAGATCTGCATCAACTATTTAAAGAGACAACCAATGAGATATCTTTTAGATGGTTACACTGAATATTAATCAATTTCACTCCGTCTATTATTAAATATTGAGGAAGTTCTAAGAGCCAAGTTACAATATAGTCCCAAATTGGTTTGTTGTAACAATCTAGCAAATATTAATTTAATTTCATTAGCGTTCATCTCGTGATGCAGTTTGATGATTTCCTTAAATTATGTCCTATATACCTCCAACGTCTTTTCCCAATTTCCTCCTCATCTGAAAGTTGGCTTGTTCTCTTCCATAGTAGGCTGTTGCTGATGGTATCCGGTCAACGGACATTGAGTATCATGTATAGACAATTATTCATAAATTTATGTATTTTTTCGATGATGGTTGTGGTAGTTCTCGTAGTTTCAGCTCCATACAGTAGAACTGTCTTGACATTTGTATTGAAGATTCTAACTTTGCTATTGGTTGACTTGTTTTGAGTTCCAAATGTTCTTCAACTAGTCCTCGCCTTTTACATCTTCATCAAGTCCTCTTTATTCATAGATGATGCTGACCACGTAAGTGAAAGTTTCCACCTCTTACACAGTTGCTCCATCAAGTGTGATTGCGTTGGTGTTCACCGAGTTCTACTCGAGGATGTTGGTTTTCACATGGTGTATATGGAAGCCTACTGATGCAGAGGCTGCCGCCAAACCAGCTGTCTTCATCTGAATTTGTTAATGTGTATGGAATAGAAGAGTTGTTCATTGAATTCGTAACCGGAGTACGGCAGCATCTCTCCAATATCTAGCTTTTGTTGTCCAGCTTGGGTCCAATGGGTTTCTCTGATACCGGGTACTGTCAAGTTGTATCGCTTCATTTTCGTTGCTATTTGACTGGTCCTCCCGGTTTCCTACATTCTCTGCACATTCCATGTACCTATATTAATTGTTGCTCTAATTGTTAGAAGGGGTGTCGGTCTACTGACTTCCGAAGAATCTCGGCTTTCATAATGAGGCGTCATAATTCTTCCTTCAACTCCCAGCACAGAGTCTATATTATTTAAATTGTTTATTCTGGTCAACAATTTTAGCAAGGTTGTTTTCTACGGGATGTGGTTGCCGAACCCATACCCGGGCTTGAAACCAACAGTAGCTCTAGAAGTGCTAGAGACGGACATAAAAAGTGGATATTATAATTCGGAAGAAATATGGGATATCAAATTGTTTGAAGTATTCTGGTTTAAAAATTGTTTACTTAGTACATTTTTCACACATATTGCAGTAATGAAAGGCATCAGACAGGAATTTTTAATTTTTTAAATGCACATCTTGTTGATATACGAACGCTGCATTTGAGGTCATTTCCTACACAATAACAAATTAAGTTTATTTCATGTACAACTAGAGAAAGAACGGCTGAATCAAAGGGCACTGAACATCAGAAGTAATGATTACTGCTATAGGCCAGTCAGGTCTATCATAATACATGTGTCAGGTTATCTTATGAAGTACTGTTCGTGTTAGATATTATTCAAATTAGTTAAGGTTACTACCAACAGTGGTAATGTAAATCATTTGCAGTTAGGGGGGCTGCTTACTTACTGTGTTCATTAATAAGAATTTAAATTTCCTATAGTGGGATATACTTACTGGTATAATAAAATTTAAAAGATTTTCAGAAAAGAAGTAGGCATTAATGCAGCGAACAAAGTATAGAAGTAAATGAAGGTTTGTTTTCTGAGACAAACGATGAAAACCAAAGCATTATATTTTGTTTGCTTGACCTTTCCATTCATCATTTAACAACTTCATTATTCATTTTAGCCAAATTTCATTCCTCAATCATGACGATTATAACTAGTGTTATCTTTTTGAGATTGTTCCATAAAATTTTTGAAACCGGATTAATTTAGGCATTCGAGTAATCATGTTTTCCCACACATTGACTCCAAACATCATTATAATTTAAGGAGTTTCTTAGCCTAAATCTATAGGTTATCTACGTCATAGATAGCTTTCAATGTAGGTACTATTGAGAACAGAGGAGCCCTAGACACCTTTTTCACCCTATTATAGGTCACTACAACTTTGTATATCCATCATCCTACCGTGAGTCCAACCCAAAACCTCGAGATTACCATTATAACCACTGGGTCATCGTCAGCTTGAGGAATACAACGAAAGCTAAAAATACGCGAATACATATCAAAATAACTAACTAAGTAAAAACGAGTTATTATAAATTCGTCAAAATAAGTTTTCGACGTATGGCATGAAGAGATATGACCAGTTTGTAACCTTAACGTGATTCGAAAATCCCTTCTTTGTTCCTCATATTATTGTTACTACCATTATCATTATTATCATTACTATGATATCCAATTACTAGTTTCATCAACGTCATCATGATTACTTCATCATTATTTTGTCCACCGCGATAATAACAGTTCATATGTGTCTCTTGTGATCGGTTGCATCACCACCTCTATCTCTCGTTTATTCCATCTCGTCCTAAATCAAATTTGTATAAAAATAGAAGGTAGTTAAAGATACTTTACCAGTGAACTAAGTAATTTTATGCATGTTACACATAAAATCGTACTGCTGAGGTATCCCATACCATGATGAAAAAAACCGTCCATTGCTTACAGATTTTCATTGGTTGCTTAATTCAAATCAATTCATAATCCCAATAACATTCAATCACTTCAATAAGCCTTTACTGAAAATTACATTTGTAAAGCATTTTATTTATGTTTAAAAATTAGTACACGTGTGGAAGATTTGTTGTTCCTACTTCACAAAGTCATTGATTATCTAATTACATTAAAAAAATAGATTGACCTGACAAACAAGTTAGGTTTAAATCTTTTGATTCTAGAGGATTCTCTTATTCATGCTCCATTGAATCGATCACTAAATCTCCCAGTATTAAGATTCATAATTTATTAGATAATACCCTCATTTGTAAATCATTTTGTAATTGTAATCAATTTTGTCTTTTAGAATATTCATATGCTTATCCAAACAACAGTTAATTGTATAAATTACTTCTTGAATTCTCCCACCTTTATTGACTGCTTTTATACTTTCACTAAACTTAATCAATACATTCATTGTAAACGGGGATTTATTTTACTGATATGATTATTTTAATTTGTTACCAACTGAAGCGAATCCATATTATAGTTGAATGTCTGTCACAATAGTTGTTTATTACTTTAAAGAGGTAAACATTAATTATTAATAGTATCATATGATTTATATTTTACCAAATATTGATATCTAGATTTATTGTTTGAAGTGTTCTATTTATGTATTTTGTTATTATAGATACGCTGGTTATATGGAAATATTCTCACCAACTAACAGTTTATACATTCTACGTGCACCATTACATATCTATCAAATATATTTATATAATTTTCCTGTTTTTGAAAAAAATAAATTAAGATTATACTTTAAATTCTATACTGGTTCTCCTCCTGTACATATGTATACTACAAACCTTTAGTAAGTATATATTTTTTAATGTAGTAAACTGTAGAATAACTAATAATTGGCTGTTTGATTGAGATCATAAATCAATTATTGTTAGACTACCATTGAAAACCTGAAAGCACTGAATGGTCTAATATTGATCTATTCATGATCTCAATCGAAAAACTTAACAATTTCCACGACCTCATTCTGATAATTAGTTTGTTCTTGTATGTATTAAGTGATATTTTACTTAATAATTTGAGTTCATAGTTACTCATCAACAAGGACTGATATCAGTTAAAGAACCTTGAATAACTCAAGAGCATTATACAGATTTCTCTGTTGAATTGATTACTTCTCTCCAGAAGTACACATCCAGTAATCATAGATGCATTAAACAGAAGCACTTCATATCTCTCAGTAGGCACATTAATTAGTGTTGTCTTGTCAATGAATAGCTTTGATTATGATTTCTCAAAAATGATAAAAGAAACTGTGACTGACAGATTGAACGAGGTGGGGTTGTACAGCTGTTTATCATATCGATTTATACAATACGTAGCCGAAGTGTAGTTCACCCATTAAATATTGTCTTACCGCATAGATGATCATAGGGTTTCTAGGTTCGATCATATATGTAATTATGAATTTGCACTAATGACCAGCTATAAACTAAGAATTATCTATTCAGTGGCTTATCTGTCTTAGTAACTCTCCATATGATGTTGCTCAATGATGAAAGCTATCTGCGAACTGGACAAGTCTTTAAAACAATATATATATGAAGGTTGCTAGTCTAAAACCCTATCACTGATGACGCCTAGTAGTGTCGTTAAATTGCTCAATATTATAGTATTTTGTGAGTGTTTATACTGACGTGATCTCATTACTGTGAGGTATTCAGACTTTCCCTGTACACATTCAAAAAGACTGAGGGTTTAGGCAGAATTTCATCCTATACAATTTTTGATTCTATCGACTGCAAAATGCCTAATTTTTTTTAATTTTTACAAGCGAATACGAACGAACTGATTCTGCAAATCTTGTGTTGAATTTCCAATCTAACTCCAATCGTAATATTGGTCTACAATTGAGTGGTGATATTATAATATTGGCTTACCATTCCAGAAGTTATCCTTTGAAACGTATTCGACTATTTCGGTAAGTGTATGGGTTTCTCAAATAGCACTTTTCTAATTAAGTTTATTAATGTCATTGTTTCTATGTCTTGTTTCAATTTTGTTCATTTCTGTAGTATCATAATATAAGTCAATGGTTTTAGAGGATACATTTTACCCAGCCAGTTTATAATTTTAATGTTTTGTGTTTTATTTTGTAATAAATGTTTATTCATTCCATTGAAACTGTCTGAGTGTCATTTTTTAGTTACACTAATAATAACCTTTAGTGATAATTAGTAAAGCATAATTTGTATAGAGAAAAAGATTTTAAGCACTTAGACTCTGAAAAATTTGGACAATCCGATTTTATAACGTAAAACTGGACTATATGATATATAATTCAACGTTCAAGTGATATCGAAACTCACGAGGCGGGATCGTGAATACGCACTGCTTAGGAGTCCAACAATAGGACGAAACGGCCGTCCAATGCTTCAAGGTTTTCTATGGTGGTCTATCTTCAATTGACTCATGATCTCAACTATTGAAATTGATAGAGCATCGATCAAAATTCCACTGTTATGTACAATATAAAGCAATGATGAATAAATTTAAATTATCGTTTTTCAGTTTAGATAACCAGTACAATTTTTTGAAATTCGTTGACCATGGTAGTAATAAATAGCTATCAGTAAATAAATGTAGGTCACTTTTGTGTAAAACAAAACGATTCATGATGAATTGTTATTAATCCACTTAGCATAGAGTGAGCGAGAACTCAGGTACGGCAAACCAGTTTTATGTTTTATGCAAAATCAAACAGTCCCTTTGTAAAATATCAAAATTATACGTCAAATACATCACCTGTACATCTTCCTTGAGTTGTAATTTATATATGCTATCATCCTTTCAATCTTGTTGTTATTCCGATTGCTCTCTGTTTTAATTCCTTTCCTCTTTATTTCAATCTTGTGCTGGTAAGCATTCCGCTTCCCATTCCTGCTACATACTACTTATATCTGTCCACATAAGTAGTGCACACCATCTTAGTACTTAACTGCTTCCTCAGGTTTCTTTAGACCTCTGCTGTTATCGTATAAATAAATGAATCTGCTTCAAGTGCATGGTTGAGGAAGTAGGCAATTCTCGTAGACTTCATGGAGTACTCACAGGACCTTTCAAGTTAGGTCCTATGTTACTGCAACAAAATCCTACCTAAGGCCTCCTCACTGCAGGATAGTAGGGGCAACCTTGCTTGACAACTTAGCTAGTCGACGGAGGTCGGACCAACTCCGTTTTATCCTTGACTAACTAGGAATTCAACTGGGGGCTCACATAACCACAGCAAGCTAGCTGATAAGTATGCTTATGTATAAGAATTTCAGAAATCCCCAGGTCTTTGTAGTTCATGTATGTAGTTATATGCAAAGGGTATGTGTGTAGTATCATACAAAGGAAAAGTTAGCAGAAATTATGTCTGCCCTGTGTCTAATAAAATTAGCGGCCTGATCTATCCTATCAAAGACAATAAAAAGATATGGTAGAAAATACTGGGGAGAGGTGACCAACAACCTCCTCTGAGAGAATGCTTATGCTTTTGTGTGTGTCAGCAAGTACCAGGGCGGTAGCCATGAGCTGAATGATAGAAGTGTAATGAGTAGAAGACAGTCTTTTGTAGCACTTACGTTTCAAAGGGAGCGTTAAACATCTACCCTCCCAAGTGGGTGAATATACCTATATGTATGCTATGGGATGCAAGGGATCAAAACCTGTGTGTTACCGGTGTGCATGTAATGTATATTTGCTCACATGGTGAGTATACCTGTATATATATCAAAGAATACTCAGATGAAAGTCCGTGTGTTACATAGTATGCATACAGACTCTACCTATCCAGAGTAAGTAAAAACTTCAAAAATCATTTACTTGCTCTTCTTATTACAATACCTACTTATGAAAACCTGCAGGACCGACATTCCTCACAAAATCACATCCACACGGTGGGTTTGTAAGCCCTGAAAACACGGAATCCATTGCACAAGAGCCTACATTTCTCCTCAGATAAGGCTTTACCAACTAATCTGGCTTGAACACACCTCAAATAAGAGCTAGATAATGCTTTCATAAGGTTTAATGAATAAACACTACTATACTTCACCCTGAATCAAGCAGTAGTTAAGTCTATTTATTACAATTTTGGCTGAAATAAATTATTTTACTTAAAGAATACAATTGCATCATTTCTGTGAATATCCTAAACTTATTTTATAGATCAATATTCAGTTCACATCATTCTTATCCCTACTATTTATTTTTATAAATAACAATCTAATTTACTACAAACAGAATAAATATCCATCGACTTATTCAAATATAATAAAATATTTATTAAACTATCATACATCATTCTGTATAAATCAATTTCCCAACCAAATATGGACATAATATTTTTGGGAGAGGGGAGGGTGGGAATATTTCAAAATCATTTATTTTATATGACAACAATTTTAAAAATTACAAAAATTTTTTTCTTATTTCAAGTATCATACTGCTTTTATTATTTTTTTTCAAACTGTCTGCTATAGAATTAATCATTTTTGAAAACTTCATTTTAAAAAAATAATAATAAACATACAACTGTATATTTCCATTAATTTACATATATTGGGTTGAATGGGAATAGTATAAATATCTTCAGTCATTTTGTACAATGAATTTTATCAACAATCTTAAACCCATATTTCACTGAATAACTGTTGTTGTTTTTTTTGTTTTTTACTTACTTCATGGGATGTAAGAAATGTTTGACTTCAAATACTGCACATTAACTTTGACACATACGTAGATAAACATACAAATAATCGAAATATTAAGATGACATTCTTCAAATACATTATGCCTTATTCAATTGGACATAGTTTTGTCATCACCAATGAATGCAAAAGTGTAAACTATATATATATATATGTATATGAAAAGAGAGAGAGTTGAATGGTGTAAACCGTTAAAATACACCTTTACAAAACGTCTACAATATATGAAAAATGGGAACACATTCAGGTATGTTCGATAAGGATACTAAGAAAAAAAATTGGGTGTTTACTATTTGAATATTCAGTTAATCTTGATCAGGCAACTATTCTACATACTAGGCTAAAAGTTATTGATTGAATTCGTTGAAATCTATAACGATTTTTTCGGTTCCCAATCTTTGAAGAAGTGGAAAGTTTGGTGATCCGTAACAGCGAGCTCGAACCTTGTACACAACAGAAATGACATTTGTTTTTTGTTTCCATCAAACTCTCAGCTTATCTGAGCTATAATAAAATGCATTGTCAGTTCATCAATCTCACTTCACTGACTTACGTCTTGTAGGATTTACTCAATTTAACTCAGTATTCTAAATTAAACAGTGGATGATAAAATTAATAGAATTAATCAACCTAAGGGAAAAATTTATGTTCTCACCATAATCAGAATTTCGGATAGGCTGTATCACGAAGTAATATCCAGAGTAAGGCAGGGGTTGACGGTAGTCGACCCTGGACCTAGGTTTTCTGCCGATTGGCACTTGTCACTAAGATCTATCTGTAATCTTTAGAAAACTGATGCTACCTGAGAAACCTGTCTAGGGTTTTCTGTCGACTATTCCCAACCACCACCTTACATCTCGGTATAGTGCACCTGATGTCGAGTCACCTAGACTAGTGATCACATTGCAACTTGGTCGATGAAACTCAGTCTGCACTAAGAAGGACCTGACCCACATGACATTGGTCACCACACAGAGATGAATCAATTGTAAATAATATCCAAAAGTTTAACAAAACAGTTAAATGTATGTATTAGGACGATTCATATGAATTTTCATGGGTTTGGTTGCATGAGACATACAAATTCTTACGGCTTGTAATCTACATTAAGTATAAAACCAGCTCAAGCAGATTAACTTTTAGAGTTCTTGATTGTTAAACATGAACGTACATAGTCTTTTAGTCTTTATGTATGATCCTTTTGAAATAAGAATATACTGTAAACTACAGGGAATTAAGTTCATATAATATTTCACACTATTTTCTGAGTCTAACAGAATGAATATTTATTTAACCTTTCTATATCATGGATTACTTCTTACCAAATTAATTTGTTCTTTCTTCTATTTGTGTATGTATGCGTTTGTTATCTAGAGTAATAGGAGTTAGATTAAATGGATATGTTTGGTCATTTTAAGCAATATATTTCATGAATATAATGACATCGTAAAATTGTCCTATTTCATATTACAGAGGTGCAAGAAAGAGCTAAATTCAAACAGAAATCTCGTTGCCTATTTAATGGACACATTAATTAAGGAAGTATTATTGGTGATCTTTTGTAAAAGTGCTTATTTATTCTCAACAATCAACTACTTTTAATCATACTTTACGAATTACAATTTTAAATAAACCATTAATACACGAATATTTATGGCATAGAGAATTTTATGATTTATTAAGTTGATTAACTAAATAAAAGACAATCCAAAAAGAATTGAATAAACAAAACCAAATTGGATTTTGTATACAAATTCTGGCGAACTATTAAATTTAGGCAGTACAACTTCAGCCAACTAAATCACTATATATTCAATTAAATAATTCATTCAATTCATGAACAATTTAGAATGGTACGTTGGTTAAGGCGGAACACAAAGTGAGGAAATCAATAAGTCAAAGATTGATTTATTGATGTTAAAATATATAGATCCTCATTGCGTTAACAAACTCTATTTCAGTGAAAATAGATCAAGTAATCAACTCTCTTGATAAACTTTTAGAAACCATTTCGTTTACTGTAAAACTTCCATACACACAGCAGTTTTTACAGATAAATAAAATATTTAGTCAATGTAATGTTATGTGTAACATGGATAAAATCACCTGTAAAACCATCTATAACTACTTTCTATATCAATACAAGTTCGATTTATAAACGAATGGAATCCACAAGCGATAACAAGGCGATTATCTAATCGATTACAAGAAGTACCTGTGGATTATTATGAACCTGGCAGACAAAATGTTAAAACTGATGGTTTACTTAGAAATTAGGGTTGAGAAAACGAATAACATCTGCTTTTGTCTAGGGTAGAAGTCTTCTATTATTTTGTCATTTTATCACTCCAAATCGATATCCAGGCCTGCTGAATAGCCTGTTTTGATAATCTTTCTAAACTACCACTGGATAGTTTAAAGTCTTTCAGCATCAAAATCTTTTGCATATGTTCTGAGATTCTTTTAAATAATGCAAACTATTTTCTCCAAATGTCCGTGGTAATGAACGTTTTTTCTCAAGACGAGTCTCGTTGTAATAGTATTCTGTTTATCTAAATCGTTCTGGTGAATTTCTGCTTGGACACTATTTGGCTAATTATGAACATCATTCAGCGATGATCACTAAATGTTTATCAAATAAGTTTGATTTGTCTTGATCATGTTACAACAAATGATATGATTATTGAGGTAGTTGATATAGAAGTGCAATAGGTTTAAATAAACTATGATATTATTAATTGAATATAATAGAAATGCATTAAATGGTAAAGACATAGGCGTTTATTCTGATTGTAATAAAGTTTAAAGCCACTTACTGTTTTCGGTTATGATAAGCATGTCCTTGTGTTTATGTGTGAAAGTGGAACATGAAATTATTACAACGATCAAAATTTTTAATGATGTTTTTAAATATCTTCACTATTGATAAAACTCAAATTACACACTGTACCCACTGTTTGCTCTTATACGGTAAACGAATGTTTTCAGATTGCATACATTGTTCCACATCTCTTCAGTCGTGTCAAGTGTACGGTTGAGTATACGCACGAACGAGTGTTTGTACATTTTTTGTGAATGCTTTCAGTCTAAAAAAACTCTGACTAGAAAGGAAGATTATAATCAAAAATTTTCCTGAAACAGTAATTAATTTTGTTCATTTGTAAGCTAATCCAATCTATCTGGTTCACACGGTATATTAAATGTGTTCTATAATCATGAAAGATATATATATATATATATATATATATATATATATATATATATATATATATCACCTAATTAGTTTGATGATGTCACTGTTCAAGTCTTCTTCTTCTCTGAAATTTCTATGCAACCTTAAAATCTAATGTCAGTCTGAGATAAAGGTTTTTTTTCTCACTAGAAATGACACATTTTGAGTGGTATGAAATACACATTGTGTTTCTTGCAACACTACCTGTAATGAACTACATTCCATCACATAGTGACACTGATTAAGGAATTGTCAAATAAACTCGATTACGTTGATTCAAATTTTATCCATTTTTAAAAGCTAAAAACATATACCATTATAATCGTTTAAAGATCCCCGTCATATTAAAAGACTAGTATTTGAACGAAGAATATTCTTTACGATAAATTCTCATCAGGTTCTACAGTTATATATCCAAATTAATAATCCGAAGAAATGGCCAGGTTAAGGGCTGATTCAAGTTTACATTCTATATGACTCATAGTAACACTAACAATTTTATTGTATTTTGTTTATCACAATCGTAAATTCACATGCTCTAAACGATGTATTTTGCCCTTAACCTGGCCATTTCTTCGGATTATTAATTTGGATATATAACTGTAGAACCTGATGAGAATTTATCGAAAAGAATATTCTTCGTTCAAATACTAACCTTTTAATATACCATTATATTGTAATACAGATGTTTATTTACTAGTGATCCGTTTTACACTTTGTATGACAGAATTCATATACATTCCTGTCAAGGGATCGACGATTGGATACGATTTGTACCAAATGACTTTGAAGAAATTTCGGGATGTAAGTTTAAATTTGTATTTGACCTGAGTTCTCATTTTAATTAAACTTCTTTTACCATAGCTCTCATCAGTTCAATATTCATTTTGTGTATATGTGTGTGTGATTAATGCATCGAAATTTTATGATTATGTTAAACAGTGTACAGTCCAAGTTATTGTACTAATTAACAATATAAGTAGAGATCAAGTGGTGGAATAAAATCAAGTACATTCTAAGAGAAATGTATAAAAAAAAAATTAGGTTTCAGCAGAATTGGGCCATCATGATGTGGTTTGGGCTATCGTCAGAAAGCTATGTAGCTGGTTGGGACTATAAAAAATGTTATGTTTAAATCTCGGTCGAATTGGACCTCAGCCATGCCCCTAATACCCTAACAAATACATCTCTTATTTTGAAACTGAGTGATATATTTTTGGATTCCACTAGATGCCCTAACACCCTTAAGATTATAAATAAGTCTTATTGATCAGTTTCAAATACCTCTGAAACTAGATCCATACCGTTCTATTGACTGTCATCAACAGAGAACAGGCTGTCACCTGAACAAGTGGTCGCATGTTAGGTTTACCAAAATGATTCGGTTAATAACAAGGACTAGACAAACTAATACTAAAGAAAGGTGAGGGTAGAATATTGTGAACCAGACCGCTGATTCGTGCTTTCTTATAGTAATTACGTCGTTTGCTAAGACTCAATTACATAATTAAATTTTATACTACAATGAGAGTTTGCAAATTAATAACTTCATTTTTAGTCCATAGAAGTTTCTGAACTGACTACTGTCATATATACTTATCAATCAGAAGAGTGTGCAAGTAATGTTTTATCACCCCAAAATATTTTGAATATGGTAGGCAAATAGCATCAACTTGTCAATTACCTTTTATTTCTAATAAATGAGTTCACTGAGTGACATTTGCATAGTTACAGAGTGATTATTTTCTTTAAAAATTAATAAACTATTTATTCACATCCAAAGAACGTGTAAATAAATGTTAACGACATAATACATAACAATTTATCTCTAGAAGATTGTCATTTTAGGCTTTTGAGTTTCTCTGTATTTCAATCATAGTATTCTATAACCCCCTCAAATCATGAAATTGGAAACAAATACTGTGTAAAAAAATTAATCTTATATTTTCAAAATGCTTATACCAATCAAGATAGTTGACGGTTTATTTTCGTTTACCCCTATGTATAACTGACATTGAAACACGATGAACATAATGTTGAATAACGTATATTATTAACCATAATACTGCTTGGTCTGCAGAAATCTGTCAGACCTACAATGTTTAGACAAACACAACACTGATCACTACTGAATCAATAATCAAATGTAATTATGTCAGTCTCAGAAGAGGTCTACTGCAGCCCAGATAATGTAGCATCTCAGTCTGTGAAGTTGTGTGATGGGATATCGAATATGCCGGGAAGCATCAATTACCTCAGTACATCTTCATGTCGCGTGCCTCACTTTGGAGTATTTCGTCAACTACCACCAACTACCTAACGGATAACTTTATTAATTGCATAATGTAGAACCATCATAAGATTTTATTCTTTTTGATATACTCATTCCCAACCCATTCTGTCCGTCAGTTTCTTGTGTTACTTATAGTTGTGAATGTTTGCTTTAGCTGGTTTTATCTTCGTTGAAAAACTGAAATCACTGGACGATCGTTCCGTCCTAGTATGGGACTCCTCAGCAGTGCGTATCCACGATCCCTCAAGCGGGACTCGAACCCAAGATCTTTGGTCTCGCACACGAACGCTTAACATCTGGACCACTGAGCCGGCATCAAACGGTGTTAACGTCCAATTTCAACCAATCCATGACCTTACTAAACCATTCATTCATTATCTGAGGTGAATAACTGTCTCAACCCAACACGGATTAGGCTCCGCTGGTCACAGTTTCTTACTACAACCTCAGGAAATCTACCATGAAGCTAGTCGCTAGTGCACACATAATTATTACCAGATGCGCACTGTCGGAGAATCCCATGCTAGTACGAAACGGTAGTCCAGTGCCTCCAGGTTTTCACTGGTGGTTTAGCTGAGATCGACTCATGAATCCAATTATTAGAATTACTACAATCTTTACAAATCCCTATGCTGATTATCATACTAATGTTTAATAAACTTCCCACTCATCTAAAACTATATCTGACCTATGGATATTTTATTGACAAAGTATGAAATCAATTACATGAATCTCTTTTTAGCACGTACTCATTTTTAAAAAATATGAATTTCACACAACTTAGAAATAAACAAATAAATAAATGAAAACATTAAAATGACAATTAATTATTAAAGGAACTAGTTGATGATTGATGCATATTTTGCATACTTTTACAGTTTGATTTTATATTTAGAAAAAAATTCTTTGATCTTAGTCTTCAACTTGTAATCTATTCCTTGCACTTTTTTGATGTATCTACTTTTATAGAAATAGAGGAGTATGATCTTTTTCATTGATTAATTGGTTATTACTCATTTATAATACGGCAGATAGTAGTGATTGTTTTTTTTCTTTTAAATGCTATTTTCATCGAATGATTTGTTCCAAAGGCCTTAACTGTGGTTGTTTGTTGGAACCAGGTTATTGTTGTGTAATATACCAACGGAGCTTTTTATGTAAGCTGACAACGTTAAAAACATATGCTCACATAAATATTTTGAATTACTCTTCACTATATTGATTGTGTGAGTATATCTATATATAACATCATCATCAGCTATTCACAAGTATAGGATATCCTCTTAATACTTCACTAAAAACATATAAGGTTACTACTGTCGACCTGAAATATCATCAAATTAAATGGAATAGAATAATTTGGATCTATGCTGTTTAGTATTATCAGTAGTCAAGAAATTATTAATTCCAAATTATGCTTATAAGAGAAATGTAGAAAACAAAGGTTAGAATCTGAAGGTAGACTAGATAGTGACTTCCATCCATTGAATGTGAAACACATCGACTATCTACATAAAAGCTGACATAGTTCGTTCCAGTTTCGTAAAACACCTGTCAGATTTTATGTAATGATTATGGTACTCAGAATTCCGCCACGTATTACTAATTCGGTGAAACTGTACTGAAATTAAAAAATGAGCATATATATAATTATTTTAACATTTACTATGCTCTGAATTTCACCTTTTATTTAACTCACTTCAGTAATACCATTCTTCATTTTTAGCTTTCCCTTCCTCGATGAGCTTAATTCTAAACCTTACTTCGAAACCCATTCCATTAACTGCTGATGGTAAGTGTTGTTGTTTAGACTTTTTGTTACGAGAATTATCTATAACTTGTAATAAATTCTATGCATTCAAAATTAAATGGAACTTTGTATTGACTTAGTTCCGAATATGTTTCCTGAACGTTCAGTGAAGATTCATGTATTATGGAGCCAAAAAACCTGGGATACAATGACATTAGATATTTATAGGGCTAGACTATGAGTTGATTGCAAATGAAAGTTATAAACTATTATATTCCGACTGTATGATTAGTTGGTAAAACTCTCACATCGAGAATTGTGTTTGATAAGATATGTTGTGATTGTATTCTTATTTCGAATTCTAATCTAATAGCAAAAAACTGTTTTATTGTATTCTGGTGTTAGCCTTGGGTGAAACCAATGTTCACACTGAAACAAGTGGAGAAAAAAGTTAAATGGTTAGAGGCAGTTTACAGGATATTTAAGACCTATGCTTCATGCCATTTGGAACACGTCAACAAGGCGTTTTTTAATCTTGAGGAGACCTGTATCCTAAAACATGCTGTTCATTAAATGTTGTAGAAATTCTTATCCTATTCAAAAACATTTCACTAATTCCAGGTAGTTTATTTTCTTAATTCTTATGTAACCGTATGCAGTTATCGGTCTCATTATCTAGTTTTTGTCTTTGTATATGAAACACTTTACTGAAAACTTCATATTGTACTGAACATTCAGTATTGAATAAAGTCACTGATAATAATAATAATAATAACTGGTGCTTCATGGTAGACTGAGTCTCGTGTCACTCAACATTGCAGTCTGAGACATTCCCACTGAGCTATACGGACCATAACTTACTGCCTGTGGGACTGAGGTGCTTACAACTAATTGGTCCCTATGTGGTGTTCAGACGAAAATGAATAAAATTCTATTTACTGAAGTGTTTTTTTGTAATAACCAATCATTATCACATATCTTTAATGACATCATAGAAACATATTCTGCTCATAGATTCGTTTTACAGCGACGAAATAAAAATCCTTAGATTAAGTACAAAATTCCCTCATCTTATTACTGCTGCTTATACACCAAAACTAGTTCAATTAAGCAAACTCCAAACGAATTTACTTTATACAATATTACATATATACAAATATATTGAGATAATAACGGAAATTTGTGACCCACGTGGACGCTTTTAGTGTCGTTCAGCTTATTTAACTGAATGTCTTAAGTGCGAAGCTTTTAATGTTATTCTGGAAAACATCTACGGCGCCTTATTCCTGTAAAAGCAAGACTTTTAGTTATTACACACTCTTTATCAATTCATTCCGATGACCTTGTTTGCGATTATCTGTCTTAGAAGGTACGGCCGTCATTATTTTCTATGGCATCCACGTTGACTGTCTTTGTTGGCTGAATTCTAGCCATTAAAACAAAATGTTACATCATTTATTATGAAGGCTTTGATTCGCACTGGGAAGCTGGAAACATTGACAACCAACATTCTAGTTCACATGAATTTCGCACAACTACTGTTTGAATGTTCATATATTTGTAGCTTTAGTGTAATCACATTTGAACCTCCTATTTAAAACAGTTAGTCCGTTTGATAAACTTCGATAATACAACAAGAAGACGAAAGTTATCAGAATTAAGTGATATATTTGCCCAATATCTTTCGAACAATCTGATCACAGATATACTTGTTAAGACATTGTTATATGAAAACTAAAAGGTCAACTAGACAGATTAAAGGTAAGCCGTAACAAAGAAAATAAAGTACACAAAAACAATGTGATAAACACTGGATAATAAATTAGTGCTACCAGAGTAGGTTAAGGGTTTTAGTTTTCATATATAAATGCTCTTAACAAGTATATGTGTGATCAGATTGTTCGAAATGTATTGCGCAAACATATCACATAATTCTGATAACCTTCGTTTTCTCATTAAATTTCCTAATCAACCACCTAGATCTTATATATCACTAATTTTTACACCTGGCTATACAGAATGGGTACAGTTTTAATAGTCGGATTTTACAAATCATTTTTTGTTCATAACTGATTAACTCGATCTCAAACCAATGATATAACTGGTTATTATACAGATCACTACAATACAGTCAGAAAACTTCACTGATAAAGTTGATTGCTTTTCAATTACTTGTAGCAGTTTAAAATGTATGTTGTACAATTTATGTATATTATCACTACAGTCCTTTACCATATTATCTTGGTCAATGCAATGCCTGGAAGTACAGGTACATATTCATAAGGCTAGTTTAGAAAAGAATATATACAAATTGAGAATGACAGATTTACTCCTGTCATTTTAAACAGAAATCTGTTTTTCTCTTTCAATATATTTGATAGCTGACATTTTGTTTACGATAAACTCAGAGTTGTTTGACTATGTTTACATATTTAAGCATAAAATATTTTTCATATTTATACATTCATACATCCTAGGCGCAGCTCATTATTGAAAAAAACCACTTGTTTATGTTTTATGAACTCAGTGTTAACTAATTTTACAAAAGCCAGAGAAAAAGAAACACATTGTTTAGGATTATGATTCACCATAAGCGGATTTCAGATTGAAAGTTATAAAAATGTTTGAGAAGCAGTCCAACAGTTGTTTCATCCTAATTAACTTCCCTGCATTGCACACAGATAATTTTACATGGCTTCGAACCTGTATATTTTCCAATAAATAAGATACTTTAGAATCACTGATTATAAGATTCAGTGACCTATTTGAGGCAAAAGTCAATTTGCCGTTAATTCAGCATGTTAAAGCTTATTACTAAACTTGCACAAAGTTCGACTATCACCAAATACTCATCAACTGGTTACAAGCCGGAACTAAAGAAATTACTTTAGAATCTTGGTAAATTTAAGTGTTTATTATTGATAAAAATACATGATCAACTTAATGTATGCTACCATGTTGTTGTTGTCGTCTCAATAAAATAAGGATAAATTTTAAACGTTTAAAACAGGTGAAATACTTGAAGAACTGAATTGACGTTTTATAAATTTTTTTTCCACAAATAAATGGGAAAGTTCACCCAGCATGAAAATTCAAAAAAATAATGCAGTGGAAGATTTATTCCTACTTCTGATATATATAAGGAATAATTTATTCTAGAATATTGCTACCTATGACTATGTATTTCGCCTGCATTCTATGAATACCATCATTAAAATTTTGATGAATGAAAACAATTTATGAATTACGTCATTCCAAATATGTCCTTGTGGTCTTTAATATTCCATTACTTACCGTCTCAACGTAATCATCATTGTGAAGCATTTTTTATTATTTAATTATTTTCAGAACATATAATTTATGATCAAGTATGTGTTATACAAGAAACTGCATATATATATATATATATATATATATATATATATATATATATATATACTGTTCCAATCTATTTAGGTTAACCTTTCACTAATTATATCTGCTGCATTTTCCTAGAAAATAATTTCCTGATAAAATGGGATACTGTGGGATTTCGTTACTTATGATTCACCAGTTAACATTTTCCCAACAAAATCAATGAAATATAACTTAGAAACATGTAGAATTAAAATGGTTCTTTTTTTGTAAAATATTTTGTTGATTTTCTTGTGCGCACGTGCAGCAAAAATACTTCACTCGACATTTAGGATTACGTTCACTTTCAAACTGATCAATATTTCAATTAAAATTGATGATTATTACCAACTATATGGGTTTTTAATTTCCCATTGTTGGTTAATGGGCTCAATGAAGAAGTGGCTCGATATTGTTTATAGTTACAAGTTTGTTGAACTGAGTATTCTCAAATGATGATTCGAAGTCTGCGGTGAACATCACCTGGTTGCAAATGCAACCGACTGAGTCGCTAAATAAAACGAAACAGGGATTGTCGTTTACCACAGTATACAGTCATATGATGTTTAAAAAAAACTAAGTAAGCGCTGAATTTATCAGCCTAGTAAATTAGATCAACATATGTTATGAAATATAATCTGGGAAGTACCTACCAATGTTCCACCGTGAAATTTCTGTTGACGACGTAAAAAGTGATCTCAAGTTCTTTCCTGAATGTTTATCATCACTATGAGATTATAAGTTCCAACGTCCTAATGTCTTAGCAATTTAATAAGATTTGATTGGGACCATGAACTGATCAATGTTAGACCAACACCGAGAACCTGGAAGCACTGGACAGCCGTTTTATCCTAGCACGGAACTTATCAGCAGTGCTCATCCACGATCCCGCACGCAACACTCAAACCTGGGACCTTCGGTCACTCGCGCGAAGGCTTAATCTCTACACCACTGATAATTCAATGAGAGAAAAATAAAGATTAGATAGGGGTTATAACATCTCAGTTTCTTGACATTTTCCGATGTAAAGTTTCTGGATTTAATTAACACCTTAGAACCTTCTATCATATCACAGCTCTAAACTTTTGTTTACATTAAATTCAGTAATAAAACCGTTGTGAACTTGTGTGATCTGTATGATTCATCTACACGTTATGCTTTCCATGCTCATTTGAAGGGTTCTTATTTAAAAGATATTTTCTTAGATATGGTAGAAACAATATTGTAGCATAAATCTTAGCAATGAATATCATTAATACTCTAAGCCCAATAATAAGCTGATTATTATATTATGATAGTGTACTGATCTATTACGCAATATTATCACTTCCAAAGATTTATTCTCAAGAAGCATTATTTATTCTATACAATAGACAAACAAATCTTATTCAGTTGGTTCACTGATGGCTAATTTATCATAAAAGTGAACCCATTTTGTGAATTCAGTCTAGCGGTAATTGAGCCTCCCTCTATACGGTTAAATCAAATTAATTAATCACAAGCTGAATAGTCACCCCGTAAAATGAAATTAATCGGCCGACGAACTAGCAACTGAATTAATCTGCTTACAACAGGTAGCAGGTTTTAAACTAATATCTCATATGAATAACATTAACTCTACCACACAAAATATGTTTTAGACCCGACTA